GACCTTTGTCAGTATTAGGGTAGTGGGAGGGGAAAAATTATATGTATGTATGTATGTATAGATAGATAGATAGATAGATAGATAGATAGATAGATATAGATAGATAGATAGATGATAGATAGATAGATAGAGGGCACAGGGTAAGTTGAAGATGAAGGGGTGATATCTGGAGAATAAAATTAAGGGGTGAGAGAGGATTATATTAGGAGAAGGAGAAAGGGAGACCTAGAATGGGGTACATTATCTCACAGAAAACGGACAAGAAAAGGTTATTACAGTGGAGGGGAAACAGGGGAAGGTGAGAGGAAATGAGGGAATCATATTCTCATAGGATTTGGCTTAAGGAGGGAATAACATATACACTCAATTGGATATGGAAATCTGTCTTACCCTACAGGAAAATAGGGGAGGAAAGGGACAAGGGGAGGGGGATGATAGAGAGAAGGGCAGATTGGGAAAGGGGTAATCAGAAGGAAGTACTTCTGAGGAGGGACAGGGTCAAAAAAAGAATAGGATAGATGGGGGGGCAGGATAGGATTAAGGGAAATAGAATTAGTTTTTCACAACATGTCTACTATGGAAGTGTTTTGCATAACTGCACGTGTATGGCCCTGCATTGAGTTGCTTGCCTTTTCAATGAGGGTGGGTGGGTGGGGAGGAAGGTACAAAGTTTGGAACCCGGAGTTTTAGAAACACATGTTTAAAAAAAGATGTTTCCACATGCAGCTGGGAAATAAGAAATACAGGAAATGAGGTAAAGAAATCTATCCTGCCCTGCAGGAAAGTGAAAGGGGAAGGGAGTAAGAGAAGGAGGAGGGAAAGATAGAAGGGAGGGCAGACTGGGGGAAGAGGTATTCAGAATGCATGCCATGTTAAGGTGGGGGAGGGGCGAGATGGGGTGAAAATTTGGACTTCAAAATCTTGTGGAAGTAAATGTTGAAAACTGAAAATAAATAAATTTATACAGAAAAAAATAAATAAATAAAAAGGCAAAAAAAAGGCATAGGAAGGGGGCAGCAAGGTGGTGCAGTGGATAGAGCACCAGCCCTGTAGTCAAATCCCTCCTCAGACCATACACTTGACATTTACTAGCTGTGTGACCCTGGGCAAGTCACTTAACCCCAATTGCCTAAAGAAAAAAAAAAGGTATAGGAAGAAATAAGAACACCTACTATACTGGACCTCACTATGATTAATAAGAGGTAAGTATTTGCCAAAGTAGAAATGATTAGAACCCTGAGAGGAAGTGACCACTTCATATGATAGGTAATATTAAAAATAGGATGTATTTCATATAGAAATTTAAGTTTTATAAATCATTTGCCTCACAACAACCCAGTGAGGTACATGACAAGAATTATCACTTCCACTTTATAGATGGGGAAATTGAATATCACTGAGGTTAAATGACTCATTTATGATAAGCATTAAAGCCAGGATTTGAATCCAACTTTCCTGATTCCAAAGTCAGTGCTTTTTCCATAATGTCTAGTTATCCCTCAAAGAATCTGAGTCAACAGTGTCACATGAATTCAACCCTCAGATAAGAAAGGTACTGACAAATGTGACTACTTATGGCCTTAAAAAATCATAAAGAATAAAAAAGGTGCTGCAGGAATAGAGATGAACAAATGTCCATATATTCCAGAAAAAAGAGAAAGGAGAAGGAAGGAAGGAAGGAAGGAAGGAAGGAAGGAAGGAAGGAAGGAAGGAAGGAAGGAAGGAAGGAAGGAAGGAAGGAAGGAAGGAAGGAAGGAAGGAAGGAAGGAAGAAAAAGGAAGGGAAAAAGGGAAGGGAAGGAAGGGAATGGAAAGGAAGAGAAGTGAACAGAACAAAAGGGAAGGTAATGGAAGGGAAGGAAAAAGAAAGAGGGCAGGGTCTTGAAACTTAATTTTGATTGCCTTACAAAATTCTAAAGCATATTATTAAAGAAAGGATTTAGAAAAATTTAAAAAAGGATATAGCAATCACTAGAAACCAGCACAGGGTCATCAAGAACAGTTCATACCAAATTAATTTCATTTCTTTTTAGTACAGAATTATTGGATTTATAAATCAGGAGACTACTATAGGCACAGTTGGACTTCAGAAAAGGAATTTTCTAAAATCTCAAATATTCTCCTTATGAATATGATGAAGAGATGTAAGGTAGCTTATAGTATAATTAAGACTCAGAATTGGTTGAATGACAAGACCCAAAGTATAGTAATTAATGGATCAGTGTCAATTTAGAGGAGAGATTTCTAGTGGAGAATGAAAAATTTCTGTCAGAGACTAAAAGATCTCTAATGGACAATTAATAAGACATAAGGGCAGCTGGGTGGAGCAGTAGGTAGAGCAACAGGCCTGGAGTCAGGAAGATCTGAGTTCAAATTCAGCCTCACACTTACCAGCAATGTGACCCTGGGTAAGTCACTTAACCTAGATTTGCTTTAGTTACTTCAATTGTAAAATGGGGATTATAATAGTACTTACATACTAGGGCTGTTGTGAGGATCAAATGAAGTTAAAATTGTAAAGCAGATAGCACAGTGCACATAGTAAGTGCTGTAGAAATGCCAGTCATAATTACCATTATTATTGGACTTGTAGAGCACTTAGTACAGTCTTGGCATGTAACAGGTGGTACATAAATGCTTACTCTCTTCCCTCCTTTCTCCCTTCCCTCAGTGAGGGTAACACATCTATGAACATCAACTCTTTTTTTCTGTTCAACATGTTTAACAATAACGGCATACATCAAATTCTTAGTTAACACAAAGTTGGAAAAGCTAGCTAGTATGTTGAGCAACAAAGTCAGGATCCTCCAAAAAATCTCAGCAGGCTAGAATGCTGAGCTAAATCTAGGGTGATGACATTTTATTTCAGACAGATATGAAGTGCTATATTTTAGCTGAAAAAAAAATCAACTGCATGAGAAGAAGAAGAAGAAGAAGAAGAAGAAGAAGAAGAGAAGAAGAAGAAGAAGAAGAAGAAGAAGAAGAAGAAGAAGAAGAAGAAGAAGAAGTGGAGGAGGAAGAGGAAGAGGAAGAAGAAGAAGAAAAGAAGAAAAGGAGGAGGAAGAAGAAATAGTCATAAAGGCACATTATTAACAATTTAGAAATCAGAAGCCATCCAATACAACCTCCTCATTCTACAGAACAGGAAAATGAGGTCCAGAGGGGTCAAGTTATTTGCAAGGTTACACAAGCAGTAAGCATCAGAAACAGAATCTGAAGGGAAATTCTCTGACTGCAGAGCCAGTATATTTTCCACTGGTAACATGGTATCACAGTGCATAGGGAGCTGGCCTCAGAGTCAAGAAGGCCTTTGTTTTACTCCCTCCTCTGACACTTGTGATTCACAGAGCAAGGGATTAAATGACCTAATCTCTCATTGCCCCCAGGCAACTTTCTACACTAATAGATATTGGCAGAGGAAGTTCCTCACCAGTAGACATTCCAGCAAATCAAACCATAGGCTTGACAAAACAAACAAACAAAAACAAACAAAAACATATACACATAAATAAATGTATATTTGGTTTTTTTTTTCAAGAGTGAATAGCTGTCCCAGGAATAGTTTAAGAGAAAGAAGTGAGGTGGGATGATCAGTCCAGTAAGAATGACTATCTGTGTCACTGAGCAGCTGAGTGGCTCAGTGATAGAGCTCTGAGACTGGAGTGAGAAGACCTGAGTTCAAACCCAGCCTCAAACACTTACTAGCTGTGTGACTCTGGCAAATCACTTAACCTCTGTTTGCCTCAGTCTCTTCAACCATAAAATGAGGATAATAATAGCACCGACCTTCCAAGGCTGTTATGAGGCTCAAATGAAATAATACTTGCATAGCACTTAGCACAGTGTCTAGCACATGAACAGCACCATACAAATGTTTATTCCCTTCTTCCCCTTTTCCCTTCATTCTCCCACTCAACCATGAAAAGTCCAATTTCTCATTTCAGTTTTCCACCACACAGCTCTCCACTTCCCTGAATTCTCTTCAAATTCCTTTAATGCTTTGTTTTTTTGTAAGATAACACACATTAACAACAATTTTAATACTAAACCAATAGCTGACATTACTATAATAATTTAAGGCTTACAAAACCCTTTACCTAGAGAAGCAGCAAGGTAGAGTGAATAGAAACTGAGCCTTGAAGCCACAAAAATCTGGATTCAAGAACTGCCTCTGTCATGCACTGGCTGTGTGACCTTGGACAAGTCACTTGTCCCTTTGGTTGTGTAGGTGAAGCTCTCTAAGAAAGACTATAAGTTGCAGAGTGGGTGCTCTCTCTACCCAGAGTGTCCTATACCAGTAAAATCAAAGGTCCCTCTAAATATGTTATCTCTTTGATCTTCATAACAACCTTCTGAGGCAGGGATTATTTTACCCCCATTTTGCAGATGAGAAAACTGTGGCTTAAAGATGTTGAATGACTTGCCCAGAGTCATACTGCTTGTATCTGGGGCATAATTCTAACCTGGGTCTTCCTGATTCCAATTCCAGCCTTCTGTCCCCTATATAATGTTGCTTCTTTACTTATTTGCTTTTAGAAAAATAGCACTTTTTTCTAAATAGGTACAAGCTTTTGTATATGGCAATTCTGCATAACTTTTTTTTAATATATACTTTTTTTTCTCCCTTTCAAGTAGACCTCTTAGCAGTATGATCAGTATTTTATCTTTATTCCAGGGAAGCCTATACTCAGTATAATACGGTACCTTTCATATTTAGGCATTCCCACCACAGTTTGCATATACTGCTCTTGAAAGCAATGGTTTCCCACAATGCCTTGCACTTAGCAGATGTTCAATAGGTTTCAGCTGATTGATTTCCAGCATTGGCTGGAAATATATAAAGAGCTCCTAACTCAGCCATTCTTTACACTAATATCACACCCACGTTCAGATTCAACTTACTCAGCTACCTGTACTACTGATCTAGGGCTTCAGATCTTACATTTCTACCTGGATCCCTGTACCTAACACCTGGTGTTTTTATACTCCTCCAAACCTTACCTGATCACCAGCATGGTCCTGACCTTTGGCCACTGTAGACTCAATCTTTAGGACTTAGGAACTAAATAAGAGACAAGGGAGAGAAGGTAGAATTACTCGACTTTTATTTTCCTTCTGTTTTCTTTATCAACATTTTTAAAAATTTCAACAGTAAAGCAAAAATAGTTAAAGCAGTCAAAATCCAAGATATATGATGAGAACATAAGACTCACCATGTCCATTCATTTGAATTATTTGCTCAAACCAAAGATCCAGTGTAACCCTTCTATGAGCACATGAAATCTAAAATACATGTCCTACCTAGGCAAGCCTGAGCCTGGGTTCAGGCTGTCTCTTTTATGTTTATTCTTTCCTAATCATAGATAAATAAGTATGTATCTTGAATTGGATGCAGGCTTGGAAGCGACTTTGTTTTTTTTTCTTGTTTTCTTTTGTTTTTTAAATTTTTATTTATTTAATTTCAATTAACAAAATAAGCATTTCCATAACATAGTATAATAAATTATCTTGAAAATTTGAGAGGTCTGGATCCTATTGGGAAGAAGTGGGTTCTTGGATAGTCACTGACAAGATGACTAGCGCAAGCTTGACTATTTTACCAGATGACTTGTAGAAGGAGTTGAACAGTGCAGAGACAGGGTGCAATTAAAAATGCCTAACCAGCAGTCCTATAAATGGCTTACTAATCTGATGATGCTTAAGTATTAGACTTCTAGCAGATGGTACAATAGTGAAAAATTAAGGTACTGAATCCCACTTTAAGTCATATCAATGCTTGGTTTTCTTGTTTTTGTTTTTGTTTTTGTTTTTACATTTAGCATTTCTTTTGTGTGTAGGAATAAACTACCTGTTCCATACCAGATGTATATTGTACATTAAGTATTCTTTTTTATAGGAAAATCCTATACTTAAGCCATAGCCCAACCTATAAATAAAATTGTCCCTGAGGTGCCAACGTAGGTACTTTAATGAGCCAAAGAGCTTGAAGTTTTCCGGAACTGAGCCAGACCCAAACTACATGCCTGGGTAGAGAACAGGGAGAGGACCCAGGAGCACGGCCCTTGTGATTCTAGCAGCAGTGGTTAGTGCTTGTTATTCTGGGCTTCAAAATGTGAATCAAAGAACAACTGCTCAGCAAAGCTAAGAAGCAGAACATTCATCAGCTAGACTAGAAATACAGTGCTTGTTCAAGGAAGATGGTGAATTTCCCAACCCTGAAACTCTAATTGGGTATAATATACTGCCACAGCCTGCACTCCAAGGCTTGAGGATAATTTTGCAGACATTATTCAAACTAAAAATTAGGTGGCCATTCTCCTTTCCAAAGTCTCATGGAAAATATAGAGCCCAAGGTATATTTATTTTATAAAATTTTGCTTTTCACACATTATCCTTATTTGACAAGTATATATCAAGTGCTCAATGAGTACACAGCTTACTACCTGTCCAGGCTTCCTGCGTTGAATTTAGTGAGCTTTTTATGTAAAGCAAAAGGGCACTTAATAAAATTTTTCTTAATGACAATGATGACCATTACAGGTGAACAGAGGATTTCCTTCAAGGGAAAAAAAAATAAAAACAGGAGCCCCTTCAAGGAGTTTACAGTCTGATAAGGGAGACAGAAGGTGCAGAAACAAATAACGAAGTGGACAAGATGTAAGAAAACATATTCAGGTTGGATTCCAAGGAGACAAGATGGCATCAAACATCCTGCTTTTAGCACCACTTAAAGAAGAGGAACTCCTACATGTCAAACTGGAGCAGCTGTTAGCTTGGATAATGAAGCAGAATTTTTCTCCCAGTGGGCTTATTGGAGCTTTTCATAGAGGTTATGATATGTATTACAAAAAGTACACAGATGTGAAGAAAATGAAGCATTGGTAGTGTTTCTAAGGTGCTTGCTGCTAATGTCCTGCCTGATTATTGGGCTGCTTACAAAGAGTTCAAACATGAAGAGAAACAAAAATACCACTGAGAAATGAAGACACTTCAGAAGAGAAATTTCATTCCTAAGCTTAGAGAATTTTTGCAGATGTAGCTCTCTTTGGTGAATGTCATTTGATGTTCTAACTATGGCCATGAGTCCAGTGCTAAAAGATAAATTTTTAAAAAGAAAAATAGAGCATATTCATAGCCCATCACAGATGAACAGAGGTAAACACAGAAGTGAGGGATTCTTAACTTTGTGTTGTGGACCCTTTGGTGGTCTGGTAAAGCCTAGGGACCCCTCCTCAGTATAATTTTTAAATAATTTAAAGGAAATGCTAAACTTCAGTTAGAAATAAGTGAATATTATTCAAGTTCATGGACCCCCCCAAAAAAAATCTATCTATAGATCCACTAAGTGTCCATAGGGCACAACTGAAGGACCCCTGATCTAAATGCTCAATAGTTAGGAAGGTGGAGAGATGACAAGAGTATGCTCAGGATTTGAGTATTTTTCAAAAGCCACTCAGATTCCACTAATCAGTTTTCTTTTAAGTCCATAGCAAGTCACAGAAGTAGCAAGAAGGGCTAAGAAGTTCATATTGAGGTGATAGTGTATCTGAAAACACAACATGTCACACCATTAACTGCTGTGAATTGGCTTTCAGGTCAAAGCTGGATGTCATTGAAAAGAGCAATGTGCAATAGTTATTACCAACATTTCTCTCCCAGGTGCTGAGATGAATGCTCCTTACACTGAATCTGTTCCTTGGCATGCAGTTGGTGGAACTGGGGGGAGTCCTATAATCAATCAGTCCTTCTAATCAGACAATACTGTGCTCTACAGTATAATATATGGTTCAGAAAAATCTTCTATGATCTCCTACACAGCGTTAAGGGAACAGATAAGCTTCTGTTAATGGTTCTGATGACAATGTAACTACTACCTGACTTGTCAAAAGTTCGGAGCATCCACAGTCAGTATTCTAACAAGCTGCTTTTTAAAAAACCTCAGTATGAAAATGCAAGGACCTTTGTGATTTGAGAACATTGTGAGAAAAGCTGAAAAGGGGCCCTAAGGTCCTTTAGTGAAGTCAGAGCAAGGCTGTAGTACTATGTTCCACCACCATATGTTAGTTTTCTTTTGATGTTATAATCCATTAAACAAGTACTGACTGAGCATGTATTCTGTGCCGGGCCGGGAGCTAGCATAACATGAGTGTAAAACTTCTCGGAGGATGAATGACGCAGGGAGGGACTCTTCTTCTCCCCATCACAGAACAGATGTACCTTCTGACTCTTTCCTGTTGGGTAGGAGGACTCTTGTCGTTGGTTACTAAAATGGAATGCCATAAGTATAATCTAGCAGAGTTTTTTTTTTAATTTGGGATCTTCACCCCTAGATTTTAAGAAGGTCAATGAATTTGAATGGGGGAAAATGACATTTTTATTTCAATGTGATTTCTTTTCTTTATAATCTTATGTGTTTTATGCATTTAAAATCACATTTTTGAGGAGGGGTCCACAAGCTTTAAGAGTTTGCCAAAGGGGATCATGATACATGCACCAAAAGGTTAAGAACCTCTGCCCTAAAGAGACAATCTCCACCCCTCAGGTCTCTTCTCCATGCAATGCCGGTAAATAATTCCTTTACAGCAGTGATCTCCAATGAGGGCATGGCCTAAAGCAGGGAATGTAACCTGAACCTAAGAAGTGTGTGATCATCCAATCAAAGGACAGGAAGATGAGTTTCGTCTAACCTTCCCAGCAATACTTAATCGCTGTACTTGACCCCAACACCATCAACCCAAACCAAATTCCCAATTCTCCCTCAATTCCACCCTTCTGTCCACTGCACAAACTCCCAACTTCTCTACTCCTGAGTTAGGTATTGAGACCTAAGGACAATGACTTGCTACCCAAACACTCATGGGAGCAGCTGCATAGCAACCAATGGGAGAATTCCTATATTCATCCCCCTACTTTCACCCTAATCTGCTAGTGGCTTTAGCAGACAATTCTGAGAGGGTGAGATCTGCACTCCAGGAAGTGACCAGCAAATGAGAGTCCTCCTCTCCTCTTTTGGATTTGGGTGGGACAAAGTGGGTTGCACAGGATGAACAGGCGTGAATGAGTTAGGAAAGATGGAAGTTCTCATTATAGAGTCTTCCTCCCTTCCACATCCCAACTGTTCTTTCAGACTTACTTGTTACCATCAAAGGCATCACCATACTTTTGTTCACCCAGGTTTAAAGCCTCAATCATAGATGACTCCTCATTCTTCTTCACCCCATGTACCCAATCTGTTGACAAATCTTGCAGTTTCTACTTCTACAACATCTTTCATATCTCTGCCCTTCCCTCCATTCACAGAGCCACCACCCTAGTTCAGATTCTCATCACACACACCCCACCCTGACTATTACAATAGCCTCCTAACTAGTTACTATGCCTGACTTCCCTGCTCTTCAGTACATCCTTCATCTGTTTGCCAAGTGATTTTTCCGCAGTTCTGACCATGTCACTTCCCAGGCTCCAGAGGCTCCTATTAAATCTAGGATCAAATATTATCTCCTCTTTATTTAATAATTTTCATAATTCTAATTTTTACATGTTTTATAACATACATCTTAATCAGTATAGTAGTGCATATATAACAAATAAATAGATAGGAAGAGAAAGGGAAACAGGGAGAGGGAGAGACAGAGACAGAGACAAAGAGAGAGAAAGAGAGAGAGAGAGAGAGAGAGAGAGAGAGAGAGAGAGAGAGAGGTTGCTTGAACAATTCTTTTGTTATGATAAGTGAACAAAAAAGTTTAAAGACCAGAATCTTAAAGGAACCCAATATATGATCATGGGATACATGAAAGTGATGGTATTGGCACCAATGACTACCGTGAAGTTTTTATGCAACCAGAGCTTATATACTGCCTTGTGGCCTTGAAAAAGTGACAACTTTCTATAAGCCTCAATTTACTCATCTGTAAAATGAGGGGGTGGTACTATATGACCTCTAAGACCATTTGTAACTCCAAACCTTTGATTCCAACGCTATCATTTATGATCATCATAGCTCTAAAGATGCCTTAATTATGCCATAGGATCAGGATTGAATCAAAATGGGTTCAATGGGCA